GAGTCAACCCTGAGCCGGTGGGATTTGAACCGCTGAACTGCTGATCTAGCAGTAGCCTGCAGTGCTGCATTTAACCACTGCGCCACCTTGGAATAAATCATGATTTATTCCCCCCCCCCCCCACTTCTTTTCCACTGGGAACAGCTGCTTATCTTTTGTAAATGTTAGCACTATAAAATATATGTTTGCTCCAAAAGAGATTCTATTGAATTCAAAGTCCCTACCTCATAGATAAGCAGGCATAGGATTGCAACGTCGGTTTAGTAGTGCAATTCTACTAAAAGAATTAACAGAATAAGAGTTTGATCACCTAGTCTGAAGGACATGTGACTTTCAAAGACTCACAAACCCATGAGGGTTTTTATTTCTTACAAAACTTTTCTTCAGCTCCACATAATTCTTCTTTATCCCCCCTCCCCAACACTTCCTTTGGACTTTCGGAGAAGAATCTTGCAATCATTTTCCATCCTGATTTATTAGTCACACTAAATAAAGTTTTGCTAAGCAATAAGCAAGCAGAAGACAAACTTTTAAGGATCACAGGATTGCCCACTTTCTCAAGTTTCTACCTTTGAATACTGACCTGCTGAAAAGCCTCGGGAAGTGCAGATTCTTCTTAACGCAAGTGATGTATTCCATGCACCCTCAATATATATATATATATATAGCTCCACCTTCTGACAGAAGAGAAATAAGGAGCAGCCCAGATGGAGGAGGAACTTCACTGGTGGCCAACCAAAGAATTCCTGGGCTTTTTTCCCAGAACAAGAGCTGCCTTTCAAGTCAATCCATATGGAGGGAAATTGGCCCTCACACAGAGCAGGATGCAGCATTGGTTATGCAACTGTCTTTATTTAAGGCATGTAGCGTTTGGGATTTTTTTTTGTTGGTATAATCTCCTTTAAACCTCCTTCAGTCAATAGGCAGGTAAATGGAGATGCATAAAAGGATCCTTTTGCTGGCAGTCAAATAGTTTGCTTAACATGTTTGCCTAGCGTAGGACATTTGTTGTGTTATTGTTCAGTTGCTAAGTCATGTGCAGTTCTTCACAACCGCATGGACTACAGCACACCAGGGCTCCCCTGTCTTTCCCCGTCTACAGTTTGCCTAAGTTCATGATCATTGCATCAATTACACTATCTAATCACCTAATCATCTCCATGCTCTTCTCCTTCCCCACCCACCCACCCTCAATCTTTCCCAACATCAGGGTCTTTTCTAAGGAGTCTTAGAAAAGTGTTCAGAGATTACAATTAGTCCAGAATGCAGCCGCGTGAGCGATA